TGCATCTAGGCTGTATGGGGGCTAGCTTTAGGGGGTACACAATTCTTCTTGACATTCTACTTGTACCCCCCCCTTCTTTCCTAATCATCATTCTTTCGTCATTCTCGCTATTATCTAACAAGAGCCTAGACCGAGTGACCCCGCGCTGCAGGAAGATTGGGACGAGCGCGCCTCGACTGGCTACTACATAATGTCGCAGAGTTTGGAGCTGAACCAGCGTCACCACGTCATGCACTTGCTGCCGGAGGTTGTTTGCGGTCCGAAGGCGTGGACCGTGTTGAAGGATCTGCACGCCCCGACCTCTGTTGTCGCGACGTTGAAGGACCACGCCGCCTCTACGATACAGGAAGATTGGCTGCCATTTGTGGAGAAGCAAGCGGAGTGTGTGGTGAAGCGGATTAGGACAGACAGAGGTGGTGAGTTCCTTGGAGCTGAGATGACGGCCTGGCTCAAGAAGCAGGGCATTTAGAGGGAGCTGACCATGGCTTACACCCCGCAGTCCAAAGGTGTAGCAGAACGAGCGAATCGGACCATTCTGGAGACAGCTAGGGCGCTGCTCATAGAATCAGGGGTGGGCAATTCGATGTGGCCCCATGCTTTCCGGTACGCTACCGTGGCTAGGAACAGGGTGCTCACTCAGGTTGGTGATGACTCGTAGGTGCCATTGGAGAGGTGGCTTGGGAGGAAGCCGCCAGTGGACATGCTGAGGGTGTTCGGTTGCATGGCAGTCGCCCATGTCCCCAAGAAGTATCGAAGTAAGTTGGGGGCAAGTGCAATCAGGTGTGTGCATTTGGGAATGGCTGCTGAGAGCAAGGGATGGCTGCTGTGGGAACCATCCAAGGGGTTGTTGTTTGACATCAGGGATGTGAAGTTTGTTGAGGGCCTGATGTATGGGGGCTGGAAGAAACAGCCGGAGGCCAAGGTATCACAGGAGATGGAGCAGATCACCATGCAGCTGGACCTGACTCCTAGTGTGTGGGAGGAGGGAGAGGACGCAGCTGCAGAGGGTGGTGATGGAGAGAAGGTACAGGAGGCACCTGCTGATGGAGGAGGTGGTGTAGAGGCTTCTGGTAGCACTAGTGGAGCTGCTGGACCTGAGCGTGACCTAAGGCTCCTACGCTACCACAAAGGAGGAAGCCAAAGAATGTTGTTATGAAGGGGTGGGAGACACCCGTCTCCAGGCCAGGACGTACCCGTATGGCCACTATGAAGCTGACTGCAGGAGCTGATGTAGCAAAGCAGCAGCTTGGGAATGAGGAGGCATTGCTGATTCTACCGCATGGCTATGACCCGGATGAGGAGGATTTACCTGCCTACTGTTTTCTTGCCCCTGCACCAGAGGAACCAGCAAGCATGGAGGAGGCATTAGCTGGACCAGATAGGGAGAAGTGGCTGGTTTCTAGGGATGCTGAGTACCAAAGCTTGCTAGAGAATGGGACATGGGGTCTGGTGGTGCTGCCTGAGGGGAAGAATGCCGTACAGTGCAAGTGGGTGCTAAGGATCAAGACCGATGACAAGGGACAGGTCACCATCTACAAGAGTAGGCTGGTGGCTAAGGGGTTTATGCAGAAGGAGAAGCAGGACTTCAATGAGATCTTTGCTTCCACTGCCAAACCCCCTACCCTCCGTATCTTGTTGGCAGATGAAACCGTTCGTGGGAAATTCATCATTCAGATGGATATATCAATGCCATTCCTCAATGGGATTTTAGAGGAGGATGTGTACATGACGCAGCCGACTGGGTATGAGGATGGTACGGGAAGGGTGTGCAAGCTGAAAAAGTCACGCTGCTGGTACCAGAAGTTGGCTTGAAGCAGGCGCCACGCTGCTGGTACCAGAAGTTGGCAGCTGTTTTAGAGGAGATGGGATTCAGGACCAGCAGCTGTGATGAGAGCATCTTTCTCAAGGGGGAGGGGGAGAAGCTGGTGCTGTTTCTGGTCTACGTGGACGACATTCTTCTCTTCAGCAGCAGCATGAAGGAGATCCAGAAAGTGCAGCAGTAGCTGATGAAGAACTTCAAGTGCAAGACCCTTGGGGAGGTAAATTACTACCTCGGGATGCACGTGGAGAGGGATCTGGATCACAGGTGGTTGAAGCTGCACCAGGAGAAGTTCATCAAGGAGCTGGGGGAGAAGTATGGGATTGAGAATGAGCGCAAGGTTGCAACTCCCCTGCCAGCAGAATTCAAGCTTGTGAAGGCTGTAGAGGATGAAAGGGTTGAAGCCGAGGAGCAGCAGCAATTCCAGTCCTTGGTGGGCAGCCTCTTGTATGCAGCGGTTCATCTGACATCTCTTTATGGGTAATTAACGCTCTTACTCTTGGTACCAACCATATGGGCAAGTAACGCATTTACTATTAATACCAACCATATGGGTAAGTAACACAGTTACTCTTGGTACCAACCATATGGTTAAGTAACGCATTTACTATTGATACCAACCATATGGGTAACTAACGCAGTTACCCTCGGTACCAACCATATGGTTAAGTAACGCATTTACTATTGATACCAACCATATGGGTAACTAACGCAGTTACCCTCGATACCAACCATATGGGTAAGTAACGTACGTACTCTTGGTACCAACCATACTAATATTACCTACCATATGGGTAAGTAACGCACTTTATCTTGGTACAAACCATATGGGTAAGTAACGCAGTTACTCTCAGCACCAACCATATGGGTAAGTAACGCAATTATTCTTGGTACCAACCTTATGGGTAAGTAACAAATTTACTCTTGGTTCCAACCATATGGGTAAGTAATGCAGTTCCTCTTGGCACCAACCGTATGGGTAAGTAACGCATTTACTATTGATACCAACCATATGGATAACTAACGCTGTTACCCTCGGTACCAACCATATGGGTAAGTAACGCACGTACTCTTGGTACCAACCATATGGGTTAGTAAAGCACTTACTCTTGGTACCAACTATATGAGTAGCTAATGCACTTTCTAATAGTACCTACCATATGGGTAAGTAACGCATTTACTATTGATACCAACCATATGGGTAAGTAACGCACTTACTCTTGGTACCAACCATATGGGTAAGTAACGCATTTACTATTGATACCAACCATATGGGTAACTAACTTAGTTACCCTCAGTACCAACCATATGGGTTAGTAACGCTCTTACTGTTGGTACCAACCATATGGGTAAGTAACGCAGTTACTCTCGGCACCAACCATATGGGTAAGTAACGCAATTACTCTTGGTACCAAACTTATGGGTAAGTAACGAACTTACTCTTGGTTCCAACCATATGGGTAAGTAATGCAGTTCCTCTTGGCACCAACCATATGGGTAAGTAACGCAATTATTCTTGGTACCAACCATGTGGGTAAGTAACGCAATTACCCTTTGTACTAACCATATGGGTAACTTACGCAGTTACTCTTGGTACCAACCATATGGGTAAGTATCGCAGTTACTATTGATACCAACCTTATAAGTAAATAACGCACTTACTCTTTGTACCAACAATATGGGTAAGTTACGCAGTTACTCTTGGCACCAACCATATGGGTAAGTAAGGCAGTTACTCCTGGCGCCAACCATATGGGTAAGTAACGCAATTGCTCCTGGTACCAACCTTATGGGTAAGTAACGCACTTACTCTTGCTACAAACTTATGGATAAGCAACGCAGTTACTCTTGGCACCAACCATATGGGTAAGTAATGCATTTATTATTGATACCAACCATATGGGTAAGTAACGCACTTACTCTTGGCACCAACCATATGGGTAAGTAACGCATTTACTATTGATACCAACCATATGGGTAAGTAACGCACTTACTCTTGGTACCAACCATATAGGTAAGTAACGCATTTACTATTGATACCAACCAAATGGGTAACTAACGCAGTTACCCTCGGAACCAACCATATAGGTAAGTAACGCACGTACTCTTGGTACTAACCATATAGGTTAGTAACGCACTTACTCTTGGTACCAACTATATGGGTAACTAACGCACTTACTAATAGTACTTACCATATGGGTAAGTTGTCAGAATGTATTTGCTGTCTAGCTTGCAGTGGGGTACTCTATAGTGAGTACAACCCAATTTAGGGTTTGCTATTTGTATCCCAGTTTCCATAGTGAAATCATTCCTCTTTCTCCTCCTCGACTTTTCTCTCGTTATTCAATGCTTAGCTTATCTCCCTCGCCATGGTAACTAGCCTATTTTAACATGCTATCAGAGTAGGTCGTTCCTAGGACCTCACATTAATGGGCCCACCACCTAATGCCCTGCTAGCCTAGGCCCCGGCCCGTCGCCCCTTGGCGTCGCCCCTAGCCCCTAGGCTCGGCCCCTTGGCCCCGTCGCCCCTAGCTGTGCCACTCGGCCCCGTTGGCCCCGCCGCCCCTAGCCGCGCCCTTCGGCCCCGTTGGTCCCGTCAACCCCGTCGCCCCGCGCCCGGCCTGTACCTAGCCCGCGCCCGGCTCCGTCTCTCGCCCGTGCCTGGCCCCGTACCTAGCCCGCGCCCGGCCCGTACCTAGCCCGTGCCCAGCTCGTACTAAGCCCGTGCCTGGCCCCGTCCTTCGCCCCGCGCCCGGCCCCGTCTCTTGCCCGCGCCCGGCCCCGTAACCAGCCCGCGCCCGGCCCGTACCAAGCCAGCGCCCGGCCCGTACCAAGCCTATGCCTGGCCCTGTACCTCGCCCGCGCCTGGCCACGTACCCAGCTCGCGCCTGGCCCCGTACCTAGCCCTTGCCCGGCCCAGTACCTAGCCTCGCGCCCGGCCCCGTTACGTACCCAGCGCCCGGCCCCGTACCTGCCCAGCGCCCGGCCTCGTCCCTAGCCCGCGCCCGGCCCCGTACCTAGCCCGCGCCTGGCCCCGTACCTAGCCCACGCCCGGCCCAGTACCTAGCCCGCGCCCGGCCCTGTACCTAGCCTAGCGCCCGGCCCAGTTCCACGCCCAACGCACGGCCCCGTACCTGCCCAGCTCCCGGCCCCGTCCCTAGCCCAGCGCGAGGCCCCGTACCTAGCCGCGCCCCTCGGCCCCACTGGCCTCGTCGCCCCTAGCTATGGCCCCTCGCGACCTGCAGCCCCTAAACGCGGCCCCGTCGCCTCTAGCCTCGGCCCCTCGCGACCCGTCGCTCCTAGCCGCGGCCCCGGTGCCCTGTCGCATCATGAAGGGTAAGGGGGTGGCAAGAGGGGGTTCCTCCTACCCGCGTGCCCTGCAGTCGCACGCACAGCTCCGCCCCCGCCCTCCTCCCCCCCTTCCCCCCCTTCCGTGGGGACGGGGGGGAGAGGGTGTGAGGGGGTGGCGGATGTGCCTCAGCAACAGCAGCTGCCGCCACGCCTCCTCCTCCCTCTATCCCTGCCGCACCTTGTGTTGGGAAGGGGGGGGAGCTTGGAGGTTAAGGAGGTGGCAGAGGGGATCTGCAGCACCAGCCCCCCCCGCCCCCCTCCCCCCCCACTTCTCCTCCATACCCCAGCTGTGGATGCAGCAGAGGGGGGGAGGGGATCTTCAGCACCGACCCCCACCCCCCCCCCCCCACCACCCTTCTCGGAGGAAGGGATCTGCAGCACCGACCCCCCCCCGTCCCCCTGCTGCGGATGCGGCAGTGGGGGGAGGGGACCTGCAGCACCAGCCCCCCCCCGCCCCCCCCCCCCCCCCCCCTTCTCCTCACTCCCCCTGCTGCGGGTGCAGCAGTGGGGGGAGGGGACCTGCAGCACCAGCCCCCCCCCCCCGCCCCCCCCCCCCCCCCCGCCCCCCCCCCCCCCCCCCTTTCTCCTCCATCCCCCCTGCTGCGGGTGCAGCAGTGGGGGGAGGGTATGGGGGTGGCGGGTGTGGGTGCAACTGCGGGGTGGCGGGTATGGAGGTGGCGGGTCTGTGTACCGTCCCCTACTCCTCCTCCTCCTTCGTCTCCCACTGCTGCAGCTGCCGCTCAGGGGGGTGGGTGTGTGGGAGCCGAGGGAGTGGTGTTAGGGGGGTGACGTGGGAGTGGAGCTAGGGGTGCAGCAAGGGGTGTGTGAAAGGGGGGTGGGACAGTTGGGGGAGGTTGAGCGGAGGCTGCCGTCTTGTCGTCCGCAGCACCTGTAGTCCGGGGCTCTGCTGCTGGTAGCTCAGAGAGCCTGCTGCGCCTGTCGCCCGTGAGTCCGTTGCTCCTGCCGCTCAGAGTTAGCCGCAGAGCCAGTTACTCCTGTAGTCCGGGGCCCTTGCTCCGGTAGCCACCGTGCGCGCCGCTCCTGTTGCCCGTGTGTCTGCAACATCAGCCGTCGTCTCCTATCTCCTCTCCTCTCACAGTTTAGCCTCCTCCTCCTCACTTGCCCTTTGTGAATGCCTCTATCTTTGCTTGTACTAGTGAACCTGCTCTATGACTGCTTGCTCTGCTGATTATACCCCACTTTGACTATGGGGGTGTGTCATAATGTACTTGCAGTCTAGCCTGCAGTGGGGTACTCTGTAGTGAGTACAACCCGATTTAGGGTTTGCTATTTGTATCCCAACTTTCCATAGTGAAATAATTCCTCTTTCTCCTCCTCGACTTTTCTCTCGACATTCAATGCTTAGCTTATCTCCCTCACCATGGTTCCTATGACTAACTAGCCTATTTTAACATAAGTAACGCACCTACTCCTGGTAAAAATCATATGGGTAAGTAACGCAATTCCTTGCGGCACCAACCATATGGGTAAGTAACGCAATTACTCTTGGTACCAACCTTATGGGTAAGTAACGAACTTACTCTTGGTTCCAACCATATGGGTAAGAAATGCAGTTCCTCTTGGCACCAACCACATGGGAAAGTCACGCATTTACTATAAATACCAACCATATGGATAACTAACGCAGTTACCGTCGGTCCCAACCATATGGGTAAGTAACGCAGGTACTCTAAGTACCAACCATATGGGTTAGTAACGCACTTACTCTTGGTACCAACTATATGGGCAACTAACGCACTTACTAATAGTACCTACCATATGGGAAGTAACGCAGTTACTCTTGGTACAAACCATATGGGTAAGTAACCCAGTTACTCTCGGTTCCAACCATATGGATAAGTAAAGCAATTGCTCTTCGTACCAAGCTTATGGGTACGTAACAAACTTATTCTTGGTTCAACCCATATGGGTAAGTAATGCAGTTCCTCTTGGCACCAACCATATAGGTAAGTAACGCACTTGCTCTTGGTACCAACCATATGGGTAAGTAACGCATTTACTATTCATACCAACCATATGGGTAAGTAACGCACCTACTCTTTATACCAACCATATGGGTACATGAAGCAGTTACTCTTGGTACCAACCATATGAGTAAGTAACGCAGTTATTCTTGGTACCAACCATATGGGTTAGTAACGCACTTACTCTTGGTACCAACCATATCGGTAAGTAATGCAGTTACTCTCGGCACCAACCATATGGGTAAGAAATGCAATTACTCTTGGTACCAACCTTATGGGTAAGTAACGAACCTACTCTTGGTTCCAACCATATGGGTAAGTAAAGCAGTTTCTCTTGGCACCAACCATATGGGTAAGTAACGCATATACTCTTGGTACAAACCTTATGGGTAAGTAACGGACTTACTCTTTGTACCAACAATATGGGTAAGTTACGAAGTTACTCTTGGCACCAACCATATGGGTAAGTAACGCAGATACTCTAGGAGCCAACCATATGGGTAAATAACGCAGTTACTCTTGGTACCAACCATATGGGTAAGTAAGGCATTTACTATGGATACCAACCATATGGGTAACTAACGCAAATACCCTCGGAACCAACCATATGGGTTAGTAACGCACTTACTCTTCGTACCAACCATATGGGTAAGTAACGCAATTACTCTCGGCACCAACTATATGGGTAAGTAACGCAATTACTCTTGGTACCAACCTTATGGGTAAGTAACGAACTTACTCTTGGTTCCAACCAAATGGGTAAGTAAAGCAGTTTCTCTTGGCACCAACCATATGGGTAAGTAATGCAATTACTCTTGGTACCAACCTTATGGGTAAGTAACAGACTTACTCTTTGTACCAACAATATGGATAAGTTACGCAGTTACTCTTGGCACCAACCATATAGGTAAGTAACGCAATTGCTCATGGTACCAACCTTATGGGTAAAAAACGCACTTACTCTTCCTACAAACTTATGGATAAGTACCGCAGTTACTCTTGGCACCAACCATATGAGTAAGTAACGTAATTACTCTTGGTACCAACTATATGGATAAGTAACGCATATACTCTTGGTACCTACCTTATGGGTAGGTAACGCAGTTACTCTTGGTACCAACCATATGGGTAAATAACGCAGTTATTCTTGGTACCAACCATATGGGTAAGTAACGCATTTACTATTGATACCAGCCTTATGGGTAAGTAACGCACTTACTCTTTGTACCATCGATTTGGGTAAGTTACGCAATAACTCTTGGTACAAACCATATGGGTAACTAACGCAGCTAGTTTTGGTACAAACCATATGGGTAAGTAATGCAGTTACTCTTGGCACCAACCATATGTGTAAGTAACGGAATTACTCTTGGTACCAGCCTTATATGTAAGTAATGCACTGACTCTTAGTACAAACCATTTGGGTAAATAAAGCAATTACTCTTGGTATCAACCTTATGAGTAATTACACTATTGCTCTTTGTACCAACCATATGGGTAAGTGACGCAGTTACTCTTGGTACCAAGAATATGCGTAAGTAACGCATTTACTATTGATACCAGCCTTATGGGTAAGTAACGCACTTACTCTTTGTACCATTGATTTGGGTAAGTTACGCAATAACTCTTGGTACAAACCATATGGGTAATTAACGCAACTAGTTTTGGTACAAACCATATTGGTAAGTAATGCAGTTACTCTTGGCACCAACCATATGTGTAAGTAACGGAATTACTCTTGGTACCAGCCTTATGTGTAAGTAATGCACTGACTCTTAGTACAAACAATTTGGGTAAATAAAGCAATTACTCTTGGTACCAACCTTATGAGTAATTACACTCTTGCTCTTTGTACCAACCATATGGGTAAGTGACACAGTTACTCTTGGTACCAACCATATCGGTAAGTAATGCAATTACTCTTGGTACCAAGAATATGCGTAAGTAACGCATTTACTATTGATACCAACCATATGGGTAAGTGACACAGTTACCCTTGGTACCAACGATTTGGGTAAGTAACGCACGTACTCTTCGTACAAACCATATGGGTAATAACGTAGTTACTCTTGGTACAAACCATAAGGGTAAGTAACGCAGTTTCTCTGACGACCAACCATATGGGTAAGTAACGCAATTACTCGTGGTACCAACCTTATGGGTAAGTAACGCAATTACTCTTGGCACCAACCATATGGGTAAATAAAGCTATTACTCTTGGTACCAACCTTATGGGTAAGTAACGCACTTACTCTTGGTACCAACCATATGGGTAAGTAACGCATTTACTTTTGATACCAACCATATGGGTAACTAACGCAGTTACCCTCGGTACCAACCATACGGGTAAGTAACGCACGTACACTTGGTACCAACCATATGGGTTACTAACGCACTTACTCTTGGTACCAACTATATGGGTAACTAACGCACTTACTAATAGTACCTACCATATGGGTAAGTAACGCATTTAATCTTGGTACAAACCTTATGGGTAAGTAACGTAGTTACTCTCGGCTTCAACCATATGGGTAAGTAACGCAATTACTCTTGGTACCATCCTATGGGTAAGTTACGAACTTACTCTTGGTTCCAATCATATGGGTTATTAATGCACTTCCTTTTGGCATAAACCATATGGGTAAATAACGCACTTACTCTTGGTACCAACCATATGAGTAAGTAACGCACGTACTATTGGTACTAACCATATGGGTTAGTAACGCATTTTCTCTTGGTACCAACTATATAGGTAACTAACGCACTTACTAATAGTACCTACCATATGGGTAAGTAATGCAGTTCCTCTTGGCACCAACCATATGGGTAAGTAACACAATTACTCTTGGTACCAATCTTATGGATAAGTAACGAACTTACCTTTGGTTCCAACCATATAGGTAAGCAATGCAGTTCCTCTTGCCACCAACCATATGGATAAGTAACGCACTTACTCTTGGTACCAACCATATAGGTAAGTAACGCATTTAATATTGATACCAACCATATTGGTAACTAACGCAGTTATCCTTGGTACCAACCATATGGGTTAGTAACGAACTTACTCTTTGTACCAACTATATGGGTAACTAACGCACTTACTAATGGTACCTACCATATGGGTAAGTAACGAACTTACTCTTGGTACCCACCATATGGTAGAAAACATATAAGTAAGTAACGCAGTTACTGTCAGCACCAACTATTGTGCGAGTACCTCAAAATGCATCAAGCAAAAATTGCGAAAGCAAACAAACACACGAACATTCCATTCACACCCAAATGCATTCGCACACGCATACTCGTACAAACAGACGGCAGGATGTCGTGCAATGTGAATTTGCACCCAACAGACGGCAGGATGTCTGTATCTGCATGCTACAGGGCCAGGGGAAACCAGCGGAACCAGCATTTGGCTGGTTGGGCAAAGACAAAACAGGTTCTGTTTTTAGGACCTGAACCTGGTTGTTGTTTTCCCATATTGGTAAAACAGAACCAGAGGTTGTTTACCGACCTACCACCTGCTGTTTTGTCCAGCCAGTTTGGTTCTGTTGCTTGGAATTATTTGGGATCATCCCTGGATGTTCCTAGGTTGATTCCCAAGGTCCTTGCTAGCTAGAACTATATATTCCTTCTCTGTTTGTACCTAAATATAGTCAAATTGAATCAAGTGAATCCATTTCTTGCTGGAAATTTGTATCTAAGCGGTTCGACGGCAAAATGCTACCGAGTCAACGCTAGTACGCTAGCACTCCAACGCTAGGGAAACGCTGTCCAAGCCATAACTCTGTTATGGCAGAACTTTTTGCGAGGCAACTTGGCTCTTTTGAAAGCTCTTAGAGTGAGCTTCGATATAGCGAGTTCTCAGCTTAATCTGATCAATGGTCTGCACGGCACGCTGCGCGACGTTCAAGGTAATCTTGCTGTTTTGACTAAGTCCCCCTTGATCCCTCTCTCTAGAAACTCGGACCCGAGAATAGAGGCTGGTCCTGTACTAATCACCCAGGGACCCTTGGAGGTGACCCCGAGGAGAGGTTTTAATAGCCTGAGTTAATAGGCCCTTACACCAACAAGCTGGTATCAGAGCTGCGTTAAAGTGATCCTCGTTATAGGTAGCTATGGCCGGAAGTACCTCGGCGGGAGCTGGTGAGTCTTCAGCCCAAGATCGTAGCAGCAGCCAGGATTCTGGTGTTTCGGCGCCAAGGGGAGCACGAACAAACCAGGGCTCGCTGATCAAGGAGGTGCTGAAAATCTTCACCGTCGAGAAGTTGAATGCTGAGGGCTATGATGATTGGGCCTGGAAAATGCAACTTTACTTCCGTCGGATTGGTTTGCTGAAACTAATGATTGGGGAGGAGCCTAGACCGAGTGACCCCGCGCTGCAGGAAGATTGGGACGAGCGCGCCTCAGCTGGCTACTACTTGATGTCGCAGAGTTTGGAGCTGAACCAGCGTCACCACGTCATGCACCTGCTGCGGGAGGTTGAATGCGGTCCGAAGGCGTGGACCGTGTTGAAGGAGCTGCACGCCCCGACCTCCGTTGTCGCAACGTTGATGCTGGAGAGGGAGCTGTCCGTGTTGCATTTGAGCAAGGGAGAGCCGGTGCAACCTGTTTTGGACAGAATGCGCGACCTCTACGCGAAGTTGGCGACCGCGGGAATCACCTACCCGGAGCAGACCAAGTGCTTGAAGATGCTCTCGCTGCAGCCGGAATCATGGCTTCAATTCACGAGCGGATTGAGCCTGCCGCAGAACCAGAGCTTGTGGACGCTCGAGTGGGTGCGGACGAAGATTCTGGAGGAGGACTTCCGTCGCCGCCAACTGAGGGGTGGAGACGACGGCGGCAGCGGCTACGGGATGCAAGGGAGCCAACGTGGCAGAGGACATGGCTTCGGTGGTGCTGGACGCGGTGCAAAGAAGGACGACGACTCCAACGACTAACAAGGAGGTACCGGTTGGGGTCGCGGTGCTGGTGGCAAATTGAAAGGGAGTTGCTGGTATTGTGAGAAGGAGGTTCACCCCTGGTTTTTATGCTATAAGAAACCTGATGGATGGACCCCCCAGAATCGTCACCAGGATGGCGGCGTGCGGAGGAACCAGAAAAACGGCGCGAACATGGTTGCCGATTCGTCCGACAACAACCTGAAGAGCAACGGCGTTGCAAAGAAGAAGAAGGAGCGCACCGCGGGCCAGTTCTTCCATATTGGAGAGCAGGGGGAGCAAGGAGACGCCTCTGCAAAGGTTGGAGCAGAGCTGCATCCCCTGGACTATTGGGTGTTGGACACGGGCGGTGCTTGGACGATGACGCCGCACAAGGAGCTGCTTGATGACGAACGAGCTGCACCGATCAACGAGGTGTGCTCCGCCTCTGGACACGCGCTGAAGGTGGGTGGTGTGGGACGAGCTGCATTCAAGGGAGCGGATGGCAAGCCGGTGGTGCTGCATGACGTTCTCCTCGTTCCTGATCTCAAGGCCAACCTCATCTCCCTCCGTAAGCTTGCCAAGGCTGGGGTGAGCACTAGCACGGATGGGGCACGCACGTACAAGGGGCAGCTGGGAAATCGGGTGCTTTGGGATCTGCACGAGAGCAAGGATGTGTACAGATCCAAATGGCAGCTGCCGGCATTGGCGTGGCACGGTGGGGGGCAGGCTGGAGAGGGGTCTGCATCCCAGGGGGAGTGCAACGCGGTTGGAGGGGTTGGTGTGAAAGTGTTGGCCAGATCTGGGGAGACGGATTAGGCAACGGCCCAACGACGCTTGGGGCATGTGGCAATGCCCTTGTTGAAGCAGCTAGAGAAGGATGGAGCAGTCAAGGGTTTGAAGCTGAACAGAAGCACTTACTCTTGGTACAAACCATATGGGTAAGTAACGCAGTTACTCTTGGTACAAACCATATGGGTATGTAACGCAGTTACTCTCGGCACCAACCATTTGGGTAAGTAACTCAATTACTCTTGGTACAAACCTTATGGGTAAGTAACGAACTTACTCTTGGTTCCAACCATATGGGTAAAAAATGCAGTTCCTCTTAGCACCAGCTATATGGATAAGTAACGCAATTACTCTTGGTACCAACCTTATGGGTAAGGAACGCACTTACTCTTTGTACCGACAATATAAGTAAGTTACGCAGTTACTCTTGGCACCAACCATATGGGTAAGTAACGCAATTACTCTTGGTACCAACCATTGGGTAAGTAACGCACCTACTCTTTGTACCAACCATATGGGCAAGTAACGCAGTTACTCTTGGTACCAACCATATGGATAAGTTACGCATTTATTATTGATACCAACCTTATGGTTAAATAACGCACCTACTCTTTGTACCATCGATATGGGTAAGTTGCGGAATTACTCTAGGTACCAACCATATGGGTAAGTAACGCAATTACTCTTGGTACCAGCCATTTGGGTAAGTAAGTCACTAACTCATGGTACAAACTATATGGGTAAGTAACAAACTTACTATTAGTACTAACCATATGGGTACGTAACGCATTTACTCTTGGTACAAACCATATGGGTAAGTAACGCAATTACTCTCGGTACATACCATTTGGGTAAGCAACGCATTTACTTTTGATACCAAACGTATGGGTAAGTAACGCAGTCACTCTCAGTACCAACTATATGGGTAAGTAACGTACTTACTCTTGGTACCAAACATATGGGTAAGTAAGGCAGTTACTCTTGGCACCAACCATATAGGTAAGTTACGCATTCACTCTTGGTTCCAACGTTATGGGTAAGTAACGCACTTACTATTAGTACTAACCATATGGGTAGGAAACACATTTACTCTTGGTACAAACCATATGGGTAAGTAACGCACTCACTCTTGGCGCCAACCTTATGGGTAAGTAACACACTTTCTCTTGCTACAAACTGAGGGATAAGTAATGCAGTTACTCTTGACACCAACCATATGGGTAAATAACGCAATTACTCTTTGTACCAACCATATGGGTAAGTAACGCACTTACTCTTAGTACCAACCATATGGGTAAATAACTTACTAACTCATAGTACCAACTATATGGGTAAGTAACGCACTTACTATTAGTACTAACCATATCGGTAGGTTACGCATTTGCTCTTGGTACAAACCATATGGGTAACTATTGAAATTACTCTCGGTACATACCATATGGGTAAGTAACGCCTTTACTCTTGGTACTAACTATATGGGTAAGTAACGTACTTAGTCTTGGTACTTCAAATATGGGTAATTAAGGCAGTTGCTCTTGTCACCAACTATATAGGTAAGTAACGCATTTACTCTTGGTACCAACCTTATGGGTAAGTAACATACTTACTATTAGTACTAACAATTTACTCTTGATACCAACCTTATGGGTATGCAACGCACCTACTCTTTATACCAACCATATGGGTACATGAAGCAGTTACTCTTGGTACCAACCATATGAGTAAGTAACGCAGTTACTCTTGGTACCAACCATATGGGTAAGTAACGTACTTACTCTTGGTACCAGCCATATGGGTAAGTAACTCACTATCTCTTGGTACAAACTATATGGGTAACTAACACACTTACTCTTAGTACTAACCATATGGGTACGTAACGCATTTACTCTTGGTACAAACCATATGGGTAAGTAAAGCAATTACTCTCAGTATATACCATATGGGTAAGTGACGCCTTTACTTTTGATACTAACCGTATGGGTAAGTAACGCAGTTACTCTCGGTACCAACCATATGGGTAAGTAACGTATTTACTCTTGGTACCAAACATATGGATAAGTAAGGCAGTTTCTCTTGGCACCAACCATATAGGTATGTTACGCATTCACTCTTGGTAGCAACCTTATGGGTAAGTAACGCACTTACTGTCAAACTTATATGCTGTAGTCTGTTTAGGCTGTAGTGGGGTAGTTCATATAGGGTACAACACTTTTAGGTTTCCTACTTGTACCCACCTGCTTTCTAGTTCAGTCATTCCTTCCTTTACATTTTGGCATGGTATTTTTAGCACGTTTTTTTTTCAGGGCCCACCACGATTTTTTTTTTTTCTGCCCCGCCCGAAGCGCGCATCACGCCTGCCTCACCCTGCCGTCGCGACCCCTGCCGTCACGGACCCTCCCGTAGAGGCCCCTACTGCCGTTCAGGCCCCTGCTCTCGTCGCGGCCCCTACTTCCGTCGCGGCCCCTGCTGCCATTGCGGCCACTGCTGCCGTCGCGGCCCCTATTGCCTTCGCGGTCCCTACTGCCGTTGCGGCCCCTGCTGCCATCGCGGCCCCTGCTGCCGTCGTGGCCCCTGCTGCAGTCGCGGCCCCTGCTGCCGTCGTGGCCCCTGCTGCCGTCGCGACTCCTGCTGCCGTCGCGGCCCTTGCTGCCGTCGCGGCCCCTGCCGTCGCGGCCCCTGCCGTCGCAGCCCTTGCTATCGCGGACCCTGCCGTCGAGGCCTCTGCTACCGCGACACGTGCAGTCGCGGCCCCTGCAGTCGCGGTCCCTGCCGTCGCGGCCGCTTTGCTGTCGCGGCCCCTACTGTCGCGGCCCTGCCCTGCAACCGCCCCTGGTAAGCACCCGCGCCGCCAGGAGCTGAGCCGCGCCGCCAGGCCAAGCCGCGCCGCCCAGCCGAGCCGCGCCGCCCACCAAGCTGCTCCGCTCTGCAGAGCCACGCCGCCCTATCGAGGTGCGCCGCCCTACCGAGCCGCGCCGCCCTGCTGAGCCGCACTGCCCTGCCTGCACTGCTCTTGCTGCTACTGCTACTCCTATTGCTACTGCCGCTATGGCTAGCCCTACTGTTCTTACCTTTGATGCTGAGGGGCGTGCAGCTGACTTTGACGTGTGGGTTGACGACCTGCAGCTCTTTCTTCAGTGTGACTCTAGGGACGGGGTATCCCTTTTCGATCACACGTCCGGTGTCTCTACTGCACCTGCTGCCACTGCTGACAGTACGGTTCGCTCGCAGTGGACCACTCGTGACGCTGTTGCTCGCCTTGCTGTTCGTAGTCACCTGCCGTCTGCTGATCGCGCGCACTTTGGCCAGTACAAGACTGCTCAGTCATTGTACGACGCTGTAGTAGCGCGCTACTCCTCCCCTTCCACTGCTGCCGTCAGCCGCCTCATGCTGCCGTACCTGCCTTGCCGCTTTTTCCACAATCGCTGACCTCATTACTCACCTCCGCACTAGTGAGTCCGCTACCGAGCTGCGCTTCCCACTGAGTTCTGTGCCAAGAACCCCCCCCCCATGTACATCACCCTTTACTACCTAGTCACCCGCCTCCCTGACTCCCTTGCTTCAGTCAGGGACCACTTTCTCTCCCTTTGCCCCACCAAGCTCACTGTCCACCTGCTAGAGGAGCGCCTCACTGCAGCTGAGAAGAGTATCTTAGCTGTAGGTGCTTCTCGCGGCGAACCTCGCGCCCCTTTCTTCTAGGGGTGTTCCCCTGTCCCCCTTCTCCCCTCTGTTGCTTCTGCTGCTGCTGTCGACCTCGTTGGCACTGAGGAGGTCGGGGCTGCCTCTGCTCCTAGTGGGAGGTGCCGCAACAGCAAGGGCAAGGGGGGCAAGGGTGGTGGAGGGGACGCTGGGGGCGGCGGTGGAGGCGGTGGAGGAGGCGGAGGGGGTGGCGGTGGAGGTGGGGGTGGTGGCGGGAGTGGGGGCTTCGGTGGCGGCGGTGGGGGTGGTGGAGGCAGCGGCAATGGTGGTGGAGGCAGCGGCAGCAGTGGTGGAGGCAGCGGCAGCGGTGGTGGAGGTGGCGGCGGCGGTGGTGCTGGTCGCTATGGAGCCGCACAGCGTGGAGGCTTTGGTGGTAGCCAGCGCCAGCAGCAGCCGCGTTCCCGTGAGACCCCGTCGGCCCAGCAGCTTCGTGAGTGGTAAGTTGGGCGTGGGAGGTCTGGGGGTGTTGGTCCCTGCACTTACGTTTTTCGCACCGGCGGGCGCCGTGGGGAGACGTGCGGGCTGCCACACACTGCGCAGCGCTGCTTCGGTCGCCTGACTGACGCCTGGCGCACCAATTTTCCTGACGCTGTTGAGCTCCTACGCTGGGGTGATCTGCTTGAGCAGAACGTTGCTATCTTTGATCTTGATTTCGATGCTATCCTTGCTGCCATATATGCTGCGACTGATAGTGCTGAGGGTGACTGTTACCTATGTGTTCCGCCCGACCCGGGCATTGACGCTGCTGCGCTAGGTGCTAGTGAGTCTGCTGCTCCAGGTACTAGTGAGTATGCTGCTCCAGGTACTAGTGAGTCTGCTGCTCCAGGTGCTGGTGAGTCTGCTCTCTCTGGTACTGCACATACTGAGGCCTTGCACACTTTCACACTTGACTCTGGTGCTTCGCGCTCCTTCTTTCGTGACAGAACCACACTCACGCCGCTTAGTCGGCCTGTCGCAGTCTCCCTGTCTGACCCCTCTGGGGGCCCAGTCCTTGCGCACTCTTCCACGGTTCTACCGTGTCCTGCGGCCCCATCGGGCTTGCTGTCGGGACTCTACCTCCCCTCGTTCTCTACGAACTTGGTGAGTGGAGCTGACCTCCAGGACGCGTGGGTTGACCAGTTCACCCCTGGAGGTCAGCGTGTGACCCACTGCACTTGCTCTCGGACGGGCCGCCACCTGGCCACGTTCACCCGTCGGCCTGGCTCGAGTCTGTACACACTGACTACTGCGTCTCCTCCGGTTAATGCGTCTGGTCAGGTAGCCGCGTCTGGTCAGGTGTTTTCTGCTTCGTCCAGGTCTAGTCCAGCGTCGGCCCCCTGCTCGTGTCGTCC